CTCAGTTACTAAAGGTTACAAACTCTATATCAAAAGGTCAAAAACTAAGGCGTTGCGGTGTAACCAAGCGATCAGCCAATCGCTGCAGTCGACAGCATGATCACGTGATTACCAGGGATGCGTCTCTCGGTTAAAGCATTGCAAAGCGGTAACTAATAAAGAATGAATAAAAAGCTATTAATCAAACTCTTGTCATATACGCTTATAAACTTCAACTGAACTCGAAAGTCGTTAATCTAAACAAAAGTCATACGGCGTGGAAACAGAATGCAAAGACAATGTCGCTTTCATAACACATTACTCCTCTGGCAAAATGACGGAAAAGACTAAAACGATATACACTACTGAGTTACATATAATCCTGTCAATCATGAACAAAAGCTTGCGATATCAAACAATACGTATATAAGCGCACCAAACTCTCATCTCAAAAAGACATTAAAAAACGTTACAAAGGTGCTATCAACTCAAAAAGCGTCAGAAGTATTCCGGAAAACAACACATGAACAAAAACAACTCTTAAAACGTCGATATCTCTGTACTCGACAAATCTCAAAACTCTGAAAAACTCATTGGGGCATTACTTTCCCCATTATAATCCGTACTCATAAACTCATAAAAACTCCATAAAACATCACAAAACTCAAAACACTATGTTGCAAATACTTGTCCACTGAAACGCGCTTAAATCGTTATAAAGGACCTCGAACGTCACTAAATATCATTTCAAAACAAAAATCTGGGCGCTTACACACATACAATTCGACACCACAAAAAAACGGTAAAAACAATAGAAAAAACCACCAATACATTACATTACTGAGCAATAGGGTTAGGGTTCTGGAAAAGAGTTCAACGTCTTGAGTTACACAGTGTCAGTTACAGTGTCCAACGAGCGGTTCTCTAAGCAATACACAGATCACTAAAGTTCTAATCAAAGTCTATAAGCGTCTCTTCTCTTGTCGCGTTAGTCCGGGGTCGTTCTTTCATCTTCTTGTCTTTAATGTCGCTCAATTCTTAATTATACAGTCCTATCCGGTACTCGTCCTTCATAAGGGGTTCAGAGGTCTTCATCTCTTCAGCGTCGTTCATCGGTGTCGTTCGGGTAAAGCCGTTAGTCGTCAAACGCAGTTTCCGAGTCGTCTCTGCCATCGCTGCTAGTTAGTTCGGTTCACAAGAAAGACACCCCTTCGTCATTTCACTTCTCTTCACAGGATGTCAATGTGTGTAAAACACCTGCCCGGGATCTCCACTCACGTATCAGGGGATAATCTTCTTTCTCTCGGGTCTCCACTCGTGTCAGGGGGGAAACTCGTCTCGTCTCTCTATCTCGTCCCCTTGAGGTACGGGATCGGGAAAGTCACTTTAACTTTACAGTCAAATAAGACACACACAACGAAATACGTTTCAGCTCTCGTCTTAGTCGATCTTTTGGAGCACTCTATAAGACACAGCGCCCTGGGGAAAAGTCCCCAAGACTCTCGCAAGGCTGACCCAAGACTCGCCCAAGACTGGACTGCCTCAAGGCTCGCCCCAGGACTCTCTTGGACTCTCGACTCGACTCGACTGCGTCTGTCGTGGAGTATTCGCCAAGACCAACTCAAAACTCTCTTTATTCATTTTCAAAACTCTGACCAATTACAAAACAGTAAAAAGACTCTAGGGCGTAACCTTCAATCATAAAGCCAATCACACTAAGTACTGAATACGTCATATCTTTTGATTAATCGTTCACTACATTAATAACTACGGTCGTCAGAATAGCGACGGTATCTTGTAATTAGTTCCAAACCACTGAGCCAAGTTCCGTCCAAAACTTCAAATAGACCTAAACGATGACAGACATAACACAGCAATTCGCTAATAATCAGCTAATTAAGTCGGCCAACAGATACGCGAAAACAAATTCATGACACATCCCTTCACCCAAACTGAGATATGCCTCTCGGCATTGCACGTTCACAAATCAAAGATACCGTCCTCTACTCATCGTCATACAGGTTAAATACAATACTAATAAAAGGAATAAATCAAAAAGAGAAAAACACACTAATTAAGTACAATGATTATAAAGTCTAAATACAATGGTTATAAAGTCGCAAATATCAACGGTTATAAATCAAAAACAAGGGAAAGGCTACCAATCGACTCACTTTTCTCAAAACGGTTCGCTGAGGTGACCCTTCGCTGCACTGT